CACGCAGAAAAAGAAATCCTATGAAAGAGAGAAGGGAGGGAGGGAAAGAGGGAGACAGACAGACACCGAGAGAGACAGAGACTCGTACTATGCTACTTGCGTGATTGGGAAAGGGACGTTACCGTCTGTGTTCTACACAGATGTACCACTTTCCAAGCCCTACACAATATTGTTAAACTGCTTATACGGGGAGGTTTATGCCGTAAACTCTTAGCATTGTATTGCAGGTAAAATTCTTTCAGCATAGAATCTGAAAGCCCTGACCTTCATGGCTGAGTTGTCTTTGTCTTTTATCCTAGCCGGGTTTCCAGACACACTGCAGGAAGAGATTGATTTCCTTTCCTGCTGCTAGATCTACAGGCAAAGCACCTTTCACTGATTCTTTGCTTTTCTGTTTTATTGATTTCAGTGCTGAGTTTGATTATTTCTTGCCAACTACTCCTAAGTATTATTTCTTCTTTTTGTTCTAGAGCTTCCAGGTGTACCATTAAGTCTGTTTCTCTGTAGGCACTTAGTACTATGACTGTGAGACCACCTTCATTGCGTCCTACAGGTTTGAGTATGTGGTATATTTATTTTCATTCAATTATAAAAAGTTATTTTATTTTTTTCTTGACACATTTTCATCAGTAGTGAATTGTTCAGTTTCCATGAATTTGTAAGCTTTCTGTTGTTGATATTCAGTGTTGTGAAATCTCTGGAGGTCAGATAGGCTACAGGGTGTTATTTCAGTTTTCTTATATCTGTTGAGACTTGCTTTGTGTCCCAGGATGTGGTCAGTTTTGGAGAAAGTTTCATGAACTTCTGAGAAGGTATATTCTTTTGTGTTTGGGTGAAATGTTCTGTGACTACTTGCCAGGTAAATTTGGTTTACTATATAATTTACCTCCAGAGTTTCTCTCTTTAGTTTTTGCCTGGATGACCTGTATATTGGCTGGAATCAGATATTGAAGTCACCTGTTGTCACTGTGAAGGTCACTATGTGATTTTAGCTGTGGTAGTGTTTCTCTGGTGCATGAATGTGTAGAACTGCAATATCCTCTTGGTGGATTTTCCTTTGATGGGTATGTAGTGTTCTTCCTTATCTCTTTTTATTAGTTTTGATTTGAAGTCTATTGTGTCAGATATTAAAATGGCTATACTGGCTTGCTTCTTGGGTACATTTGATTGAAATATCTTTTTCCATCCTTTTACTCTGAAGAGATAGCTATCTTTAATGTTAAGTTGTATTTCTTAGATGCAGCTGCAGGATGGATCCTGTTTTTTGAATCTAGTCTGTTAGCTTTTGTCTTTTTATTTGGGAATTGAGAATTAACAATGAGCAGCATTTGTTGATTCCTGATATTTTCTTCTTGTGGTGCGGGTTTTCCCCTCCTTTTGATTTGCTGATCTGGGATTGTTTATTCCTTGTGTTTTCTTGGGTGTGGTTAGCCTCTTTAGGTCGAATTTTTTTCTAGCACCTTCCATAAGGCTCAACTTGTATATAGATACTGCTTAAATTTGGTTTTATTGTGGAATGTTTTTCTTTCTCTATTTATTGTGATTGAAAGTTTTGCTGGGTATAGTAGTTTGGACTGGCATCTGTCCAGGTCCTTGTGGCTTTTAGAGTCTCCATTAAGTCAGGTGTAATTCTGATAGGTCTGCCTTTATATATTACTTGGTCTTTTTCCTTTGCAGCTTTTAATATTCTTTCTTTATTCTATACATTTAGTGTTTGATTATTATGTGTTGTGGGGAATTTCTTTTCTGGTCCTGACTATTTGGTATTCTCTATGTTTCTTGTACCTTGATAGGCACCCTCCCCACCTCCCCAACACAGGATTTCTCTGTGTAACAGCTCTGACTGTCCTGGAATTTGCTTTGTAGACCAGGTTTACCTTGAACTTCCAGAGATCCACCTGCCTTTGTCTGGGTTTAAATGAGTGCGCCACCATGCCCAGTTGGCACCTCCTTCTTCAGATTAGGGAAATTTCTTTCAGTAATTTTGTTGAAAATATTTCCTGTACCTTTGAGCTGGGCTTCTTCTTCCACTATTCCTACTACCCATAGATCTGGTCTTTCTTCGTGCCCGATTTTCTAGATGTTTTTTATGCCTGAATTCTTTTACACTTAACATTTTCTTTGACTGAGGTATCCATTTCTTCTGTCTTATCTTCAGTTCTTGAGATTCTCTCTTCCTCTTGTACTCTGTTGGTGAATCAGAGTTTATTCACGTTGTCTTTGAAGTCCTTAAGCATATTTATAATAGCTATTTTGAAGTCCTTGTCCTGTGCTTCAGCTGTATTGTATTTCTTAGTGCCCAACGTAGTAGGATTACCCTGCAGAAGGTTTTTTGTGATAGCATTTGTGATATATATATATATATATATATATATATATATATATATTTCTTTGGAAATTTTACATCATGTACCCCAACCCCACCTATCTCTTGGTCCTTCCTCATCTGTCGCTTACCCTTGTGGTGTTCCTCTCACAGGAAAACTAAAAAAGAAATAATAAAAACAAGATAAAGATTTAAAAAAAAGAAATAAATAATAATAATAATGATAAAAAATATAAAAAGAATATTAGTGTAGGAGTTCCTTCTCTTTGTGTGTTGCTTTCATTGGTTAATGAATAAAGAAACTGCCTTGGCCTAGTTGATAGGGCAGAACTTAGGTAGGTAGAGAAAACAGAACTGAATGCTGGGAAGAAGGGCAGAGTCAGAGAAACCATGGATCCTCTGCCTGAGACAGACGCTGGTTAGAATCTTTCCTGGTAAGCCACTTCTGCGTGGCAATATACAGATTAATAGAAATGGGTTAACTCAAGATGTGAGAATTAGCCAATGAGAAACTGGAGCTGATGGGCCAAGCAGTGATTTGATTAATGCAATTTCTGTGTGGTTATTTTGGGTGTAAGCTAACCGGGACAAACAAAGGTCTGCCTCTCTCTTTACAACAGAATATCAATTTCAAAAAGCCAAACAAACCAACAAGCAAATAAACAAAACAATAACAAAAACCCCACTTTGCTCCTCTGTCTCTGCTTCTCCATTGCCTCTTCATTCGTCTTAGCGGCACTGGGAGCTGCTGTGTGTCATGCAGTAGACCCTTTTGTCTAAACAGCTTTGCTTGCAAGTGTTCATTGTCTAATGTCTTGTTGGTCTGGTTCAAGGCCTCTGGCCTCCAGTACACCATCAACACCAGGCCCCCATGGAAACTGCGCAAACATCCTGCTGTTACCCCAAGTCATGTAGATACTGCAGCCGTGGCTCTGCAGGGCCAGTCCCTTCACTTACTCCAGCAGCTCAGATGGAGTAGTTGGGGTGTGCCAGCTCAAAGCCCTGGGTACCTGGGGGGCTGCTGAGTTAGTCTGTGCCACTGGGACCACCCCCTCAGGTAAGGGGCAGGGCCAGCTCTCCCATACCCAAGTGGGGCCATCTTTCCCAAGTGTGGACAGGGTCTGCTCTCCTGTGGGCTTGGGGTAGGGGAGCTCTCCCTGGGTCCGTGAAGAGCTGAACCAGCTCAGTGAGGCCCTTGTATTTCAACTCATGGTTCAACACATGGTTTGTATGGGCCACTTGGGTAACATGGGCAACAGAAACAGACGTCAACACAGACTCCAGCTATAGCAGGTTAATGGACCCAGACTTGGCCATCAGCAACATCTTGGGCCTGGATGTCACCATGGCCCCTGGTGGCAGCTAGGCTTCTCAGATTGGCATGGGCCCAGCAGCACTATGGTCCCCAGACTCCAACACGGTCCCAGGTGGTGGTAGAGACCCTAAGCATTCACATGGCCAGTCACGTGGCCCCTGATGGCAGCAGGAGCCATAGACTCTGGCTGTGGTAGGACCATGGACCCAGATATGGCCCCTGGCCACAGCTCAGCCTGCATGTCAGCATGACCCTAGTGGCAGTGCAGGTTACCCCTTTCTGCATGGCAGCACGATCCTTGGGCACAGATATGTTGTCAGGTGTCAGCCCAGACCCCAGGCACCTGCACTGCCTTCGGTGGTAGCCTGAGCCACAGACCTCAGCACAGACCCTGGCTGCTGCGGGGCCATGGACCTAGACATGGCTTTAGCAGCAGCCTATTACTGGATGTTACCATGACCCCAGATGGCAAGCAGGCATCCTACACAAGCCTGTCCCTCGTCAGACCCACCTCTCTCCACAGGACATGAACCTCTGTACCTCTCTCTCGCTCCTGTACCCCTCCATATATTTGCTCACCATAATGACACCTTACCACCAGTGCCTTGTGGCACCAGGCAGGCCCTTAGATTCTACCTGCCTGCCCAGGGCAAACTACCCAAGTGCCCGAATTTTAAGACTTTTTTTTTTTTTGAGGAAAGGGCTATAAATCAGTGTTTAAAAGCATAAGACTTGAAAAATTCTCTGAGTTTGATGGAGGTGTAATGACTGTAACACATCAAAGCACTGACTGGGTGGAGTGATGCCCACATCTGCAGGTACGATCATGCTGGTAAATACTGAGAAAAGAAAAGAAACCACCGTCAAAATGATTTTTAATTCTAGTAAATGATGAATGACAACCTGGCTGTTTGGATTCTGTTTAAGTAGCTGGAAATTGGGCATTTGGGGTATGTAATACATACTTTCACTTGTAAAATATACTAAAAATTAGTTTATGCCAAGAAATACCTTAAAATAGGATTAAAATAGTGTGTGTGTGTGTGTGTGTGTGTGTGTGTGTGTACATGGATGCACTTATATACAGGTATGCCTGGAGGCTAGAAGAGGGTGTTAGAGCTCTTGAGCTGGAGTTACCGGCAGTTGTGAGCCACCTGACTTGTGGGTACCGGGAATTGAATTCTTTTATCTTCTGCAAGAACAGCAAGTGCTCTTAACCCCTGAGTGGTCTCTCCAGCCTCTAAATATAGGATTTTAATCATACATATATGACACAAAACATGTTCCTTCAATAAAGTTATCACATAATATATTTAATGGGAAACTACTAAAATGTTAAATGAACAGGTCACTAAAATGTCTTTCAGAAAACCATATTTATTTTCAATCTGTATGTATTTTTGTTGTCTTCCTAAAGTAGATCTTGTTATTTAGATCCTGAAGGATAAGCTTCTAAGGACCAACACTCAAGTTCAGCTGCAGCTAGAAAAAAAAAGTAAGAATTAGAATCTTTTCCTCAGAGACTTCACAGTTAACAGCGAGAGTCAGAAAAAAAAAAGGTTGAGAACCTTATCAGAATAGATAAAAATGACAAATACGTGTGTATCACTACAGTACAAAACCGAAATAGAATCGCTCATATATACACTGAGTTGATTGTCATCAGGGCTGAGTGTCAGCACGCACTCCCCTTCTTCACTTGTGTACTGAGCTACTGTGACGAGCCCCGAGACGGTGAGAGCATATATGTTTCAGCTCTCAGTGATCATCCTGTTGCATTATATCCCTGCATCAGACGAACTTGCAGTTTCTATACAGAGCCATAGATTTTTTTGACAGGTAAAGTACAGGAGGACACACTGGAGCACTCAGAGGGACTTCCATGCCAGCGTTGTGTTGATATCGGAGCTCTCTGGTGGAGGAATTCCAGAAGCTGATGTTGGGGGAATAGCGGAGAAAGCCATGCAAGCGGAGGTGAGGAAGAATATGACTAATCCATGGACACTAAAAGCAGGAGCAGTTGGCCAGAGTAGGTGAGTGGTGTGAGAAAGGGCAGCATAACTTGACAACAGTCATTCTGAGTTGTGTATTTCCAGTCTGCATAAGGGAATTGGTACTTCCTCTTCCAGACTAAAGGTAAGCCGATGAGAAGTAATGGGATTTCAGATGATACTTGTCAAGGACTACTTAGGAAGTGTGATTGATTGACTAAGTATCAATAGATGGTTCTTGTAGTTTTGGGGGAGGTTGAATACAGAAGTGAATGAATTGTTGAGGAAGAATAAAAAAAGGTTTTGAAAAGCCATGGAGCTACAGAAATGTAGGATGGACAGTACTCACTCGGGATGCCTGCTTTTGTATGCTTTTAGTGTAGAATTTACAAACCAAGGGACAAGATTCCATTTGCTTCTTAAATTTGTTTTGTAAATTTACTCTACATTGCACACATACACATTGGCAACATACCTTTATCTACCTCTTCAGTTATGTCTTTTACCATTTTCTGCTGCTTCTGAAATGTCAGATTTTATAACATTAAAATCAAACAAGTTATATTGTGGGAATGACATATTGCTTAAAATATATCTTTTATGACCCCTCTTGAGGTCATAAAACCTATTAAACAAGAAGCTTCTTAAAGTATATACATGTATGAAAGAAATAGAAATGGAATCACTAAATAATGGGGGAGATAAAGCCCCAACTACACATCTCTTGCCACCAAGTGAAACCTCCAATGCCAGGAATGGGTTACAGATAATTGAGTTGTTGATCAGAGGGGTCTCAAGGAAACCTCCAAATAACTCAGGCTACTCCCCAAACTATTATTGTTCTCTACAAACTGATGGTAAGGCCTGATTGCTGAAGACAATACCTACATATCTCATTGAAGAATGAGAATCATGGAGAAGCTGGTCCCTAACTAGAGCCTTTACCTCTACTGACTAGTGTTCATGGCATTGGAAGGTACTCTGCATGCTACTAGAGGAGAAAAGTAAACACTAACTCAGCTGCAAACCCATCAATGGTGATGGGTCTGCAAGATAAGCTGGTGCAATAGTGGCATAAATGTTATGGGAGTAACCAACTACTATCTGATTAGATTTAAGTTCTGCTCAATGGGATCGAACCTGTCCTAGTTATTATTGCTGTGATGAAACACCATGACTGAAAGCAAATTGGGTAGGAAAGGGTTTATTAGGCTCATACTTCCACATTGCTGCTCATCATTAGAGGAACTCAGGACAGGAACTCAAGCAGGGCAGGAACCTACCTGGGGACAGGAGATAATGCAGAGGCCATGGAGGGGTGCCGCTTACTGGCTTGTTCATCATGACTTGCTCCGATTGCTTATAGATTCCAGGAGCCCAGGGATAGTACAACCCATAATTTGCAGGGCTTTCCCTCATCAATCACTAATTAAGAAAATTCCCTCCAGCTGGATCTTATGAAGGCATTTTTCTTAACTGAGATTCCCTCCTTTTAGATGACTCTAGGTTGTGTCAGTTTGTCATAAAACTAGCTAGGACAGAACCCAAGCCTGACACTGCTTTGGTGGCCAAGAACCCGAGACTCCTGGGAAAACCAAATACTGTTGTTCTACTAGAGGAGCTTAGAAATAAAATGACTCCTAACAACATTCTGCTACACCCATAGATCAGAGCCTCACCTAGCCACCAGCAGACAAGCTTCCTTCTGCATTAAATGGGAGCTAATCCTGAAGCCCATAAATGAACAATGTACAGAGAGTGAGAGGCCTTAGAACACTCCTTCCTAAATGGAAGGTCTACATCAAACTCCTCCCTTCAGGGTTCAGGGAGCTATGCAGAAGAGGAGGTAGTAAGATTGTAATAGCCAGAGGGGATGGAGGACACCAAGGAAACAGTGTCTCCTAAACACAGCAGGCTGACACACATGAACTCAGAGACTGTGACAACAGCATGCACAGGACCTACACAGGTCTAAGTCAGAGGGAGTGAAGTTGACACAAGCTCCCATCCCTAACCAAGGTGCTATCTCCAATTGACAGCTGCTTGCAAAGGAAAAATGACTTTTCTCCAGTTGAGTCTCACTGGGTTTATAAACTACATTTAAGGGTAGGCTTCATGTCTTTAGGGGATGGGCAACACAAAATAAACTGACTAGTATTTTTGTAGGATTTTTTTTGTCTTATATTGCTTTGGACATTTCTTTTTGACCTAGTCTTCTGCTGTGTATTTATATTGTGACTTATTTGTGTGTGTGGGTATATGAATTTTTTTGATGTGTGTGCTTCTTATGTTTTTTTTCTTTGTGAATTTAAAAAAGTTTTTTTTTTGTATATAAGTTCTGTGTTTTAGTTAGGATTTCTATTGCTGTGTAGAGACACCATGACCATGGCAACTCTTATAAAGGAAAACATTTAATTGGGGTGGCTCACAGTTTCAGAGGTTTAGCTTATTATCATCATGGTGGGATATGGTGGCAGATAGGCAGACAGGGTGCTGGAGAGGGAACCGAGGGTTCTATATCTTGATCCACAGGCAATAGGAAGTGAACTAAGTGTCACACTGAGAGTAATTTGAGCATAGGAGACCTCAGAGCCTACCTCCACAGTGACATATTTCCTCTACAAGGCTGTATCTCCTAATAGTGCCACTCCCTGTAGGGGTTGTTTTCTTTCAAACTATCACAGACCGCATGGCAGAAGAAGACATCAGATCCCACTATAGATGGTTGTGAGACACCATGCAGCTCCTGGGAATTGAAGTCAGGACTGCTGAAAGAACAGCCAGTGCCCTTAACTTTTGAGCTGTTTCTCTAGCCCTTCTTTGTAAATTTTTATATTATTATTATTTATTATTTTCCTTGATTTCTAAAGAAAGAGGAAGAAGTTGTGGGTATGGATGGTTAGAGAGGTGAAGGAGAGCTGGGAGATGACGGGGGGCATATATTTTATGAAAAGAATTATTTTCAATAAAAATAAAATAAAGGGGAGGGAAGGCAAAGATAAGTTAACCCCTGAGGTCCATTGGCTAGCCAGCCTAGCAGAATCAAGAGCTCTAGGTTCAGTAAGAAACCCTGTATCAGAAAATAAGGTGAAGAGTACTCTAGTGTCTGTGCTGCTGGGGTCCTACTTAGGAAGAGGCCTCCTGTGCCTAAATCTTGTAGACTACTTCCCACTTTCTCTTCTATCAGGTTCAAAGTGGACGGATTAATGTTGATGTCTTTAATCCATTTGGACTTGATTTTTGTGCATGGTGATAGAAATGGATCTACTTTCATTTTTTTACAGGTTGACATCCAGTTATGCCAGCACCATTTGTTGAAGATGCTTTCCTTCTTCCATTGTATACCTTTAGCTCCCTTGTCGAAAATTAGGTGTTCATAAGTTTGTGGGTTAATATCTGGGTCTTCTATTCGATTCCATATGTCGACTTCTCTGTTCTTATGCCAATACCAAGCTGTTTTCAATACTGTAGCTCTATAATAGAGTTTGAAGTCAGGGATAGTAATGCCTCCAGAAGTTCTTTTATTGTATAAGATTGTTTTGGCTATCCTGGTCCAAGGAGAAATCCCCCAGATTGCTCTCTGGACAGAGGAGAGGGTGCCTGAATCGGCCGTGGCCCATGACCATACTGATGTATATTTTGCTTATCACCATAGATCCTTTGTCTGGAGAAGGATGGCTATGCAGTCGGAGGCCCACATTGGAGCAACGGATTGAGCCCCCCGAGGTCCGGAGGGGGAGCGGAAGGAGGAGGAACATGAAAGACGAAATCAGTACTGCGAGGGATGCTATCACCCACTGATACAAGGGAACGGATCTGATGAGAATTTACCAGGGCCAGTCGGACTGGGACTGAACGAGGACGTGATCTAGCCAGATTCTCGGAATTTGGCCGGATTCTCTGACTGTGGCTGGCCCGGGGTCTTTCTGAAAAGCCATTGACTATGACACTGGGACCTGTTTCCTCTGCATATGCTGGATTTTGGGGATCCAGTCTGTTTGGACGCTCGCCTTCCTGGACTTGGAGGGAGGGGGAGGGAGCTGGAGCTTCCCACAGGGCAGGAAACCCTGACTGCCCTGGGGGACGGAGGGGAAGGAGGGGGGGAGTGGGGGGAGTGGGAGGGTGTTGGGAGGGGGGGCAGAAATGGAAACTTTTATAATTTAATAAAATTTACTAAAAAAAAAAAAAAAAAAAAAGAGTACTCTAGTTGAGGAAGATCCCCAGTGTTGATGTCTGGTGTCCTCATGTACAAGAGCATATGTGTATGCAAACTGTCATTACAGAGACAAACCCAAACACACACACATACACATAAATGATGACGGTGATAGCAATAAGAGTTTCTCACAGAGAACGTGCTCTGTTTCCTGACATTACCAGGGCATAGACACTGTGTGGTGAAGCCAGTAAGACTGGGGATCAACAACAAGATCATGGATAAAAACTCACAACCATTACTTTAAAATGTTTAGACTTATTAATTTTGACATGTGTATGGGTGTCTTGCCTGCATCTGTGTCTGGGTACCACATTCATGCAGTGTCTGGAGGGCAGAAGAGGATGTTGGAATTCCAGACAGTTGCAACTGTTATGCTGGTGTGGGTGCTGGGGACAGAACCCAGGTTCAAAACAAACAAACAAAAATAAACAAATGTCTACTTAAATGTAGATATATTTAAATAAAATTTTAGAACCTAGACTTCACTTGAATATTACTTATGAAAAACAAATGTTAATAAAATGCCTATGTATTTCAAGCTTAAATCATACAGACTATCTGTGTTATGTTGTTTAGAATAACTGGGTAACAAGTGCTGTAAGCTTCGATCTATTAAATGTTATTTTACAAGAGAATGCTCTGTCTTATTAACACAACGCTCTTCATTATCCAGCTCTTTATATTACACAGATTAGCTGATGAATCTTAGCAAAACTCTGTGCCTTATGAAACTTTGCTGAGCTTTTTCACTTCAGCAGGTTTTTCTTTAAATATTCCACTGTGCTTTGGATAGCAGAGAGGAAGAATACACGCTTCACGCTGTCAAGGTCTGCACGGACTTCAGAGTACGGAAAAGGAGGAAATGGTTTGACATCTGAGAGTTAGGTTGGTGGAGGTTTAAAAGTCATGTTCTCTAGATTGCAGCTAATCAGTTATTAGCGTGAGATTGCAGGAAAGTCGTTTGAGTGCAAGGATGGAGACAGGTTGAAACCTGTTTTCAGATGAGATCTGAGCGGTTCAGGGTGGTTCAGGCCAGTTTTCAAACTTACCTTTCTCTGATTTATGATTTTCAAGAGTTGGAAACAAGAAAAATAATATGCAACTCTTTGGGGTCAGAGGCTGTGACTCATATGGGAGCGTGCTTGGTTGGCATGCACCACACACCACTGGGGAGGTGGAGGGAGGCGGTTCAAAAGTTAAGGTCATCCCCAGCTGCATAATAAGTTCCAGGCCAGTCTGGGATACATGACACCTGTCTTTAAGAAGTTCAAAAACCTAAAATTCTTTAGTTATAACTAATTT